GGCCGATGTCTGCACCCCCAAAGACTGCTGAGGATGTACTCAAGAGCTGTCTTCCCAAGGCTGCTGGGTAATAACTCTCTTTTCTGCCCTTTACCATGTCTCTATTTAGCATAAGAGGACAAGTGGTTGGGGCTACCGTGGGACTCCTGGACTTCGGGCCTGGGTGTAAGATCCCAGTTTCATGAGCAAGGAAAGCGATGGAGCCAGGCCTGGCCTTTAAAAGGAGCCAGAAGGAAGGGGTCTGGGCAGAAGGAGCTGCTTGAATGGGGAGTGGCCTTTTCCAAAGAGGAACAGGCAAGCCTAATCCCTCACTCACTTCCTGCCCCACCCTGCCACCATCTCCTCCTCTTAACCCCAGTCTGGAAGTTGAGCACGTTTCTCCTGGATTTTTTTTTTTTTTAGGCCAAGGGGCTGGCCTGGGCACTGTCCCTCAGCTCTTCAGCTCAAGGCGAGCTCTCTGCCACTTAAGCCACGGCTCCACTTCTGGTTTTCTAGTGGTTAATAAAGATAAGAGTCTCACAGACTTTCCTGCCTGGGTTGTTGGCTTTGAATCATGATCTCCTCAGATCTCAGCCTCCAGAGTAGCTAGGATTATAGGTGTGAGCCACTGGCGCCTGGCTTCTCCTGGATCTTGAAGTCTATACAGCCTCAAGTCAACGAAGGAATATTAATGCAATGGGCTAAATATTGCATCCTTTCTCCTCAGGTGACGGGCCCCAATCTCTGGAATCTCTAAATGTTACTTGGTAAGGGGGAAAAATGCATTTTACAAGATGCAATGAAACTAAGGGTCCCTAGGTAGAAAAAAAAATCTTGGATTATCTGAGCAGATCTTAAATGCAGTCACAAGTATCCTTATAAGGAAAAGACAAAGGGAGATTCCAGATAGACAGCACAGAGTGAAGACAGAATAGAAAGACACTCCAAGGTGGAATCTTAAGAGTGGAGAGATGTGGCCACAAGCCAGGGCAAGCTGGTCACCACCAGAAGCTGGAAGAGGCAAGGGACAGATTTTCCCCTGGGACCTGCAGAGGGAGAAAGCACTGCCTTCCCATGGTGAGGGCTCTGGCCTGCAGATCCAGGGCAGCACAGACTATCATCCTTTACCTCTCTCCATTTGTGGTCATTGGTTACAGCAGCTTCAGGAAACTAATGCAATCACATTCCTCCCAACATCAAGCATCTCTTTGCCTCCTGGTCTTTTGGAAGGAAGAAGAGAAGGGAGAAAATAGGACAATTTGTTCCTTGCTTTATTAATTTTGCTTTAGTTTTCAATAGTTTAGTGCCTCATCCCCAGAGGAGAGGAAGTTGGCTGACACTGGAGGTTCCATCCTAAAGAGTCACGGTGTGTGTGGGGAGGAGTGGTGAGGGGGGGATCTGCCCTGCACTTTTGACAATGGGAAGGTTGCCTCTCCACGCATGTATTTGATTGAAATTCCCTGGACCCAGTGAGCTGGGAGCTGGCTTTGACTACCTCCATCCATGACAGGTAACTAGGGGTTCAGTGAATGTATAAAATCCCCCCTTGTTAGACGTTAGAGCAAACTGGCTAGGCCAGAGCACTGGTCCTCAGTTCTACGAAAGGAAAATGGATACGTAATTTTTCACATAGAAGTTGAAGTTAGGCCAGGCACTGGTCGCTCATGCCTGTAAGTCTAGCCACTGAGGAGGCTGAGATCTGAAGAGCTCGGTTCCAAGCCACCCAGGGCAAAAAACGTCTGCAAGAATCTTATTATCAGTGAATCATCAAAAAGCCAGAAGTGGAGCTTTGTCTCAAGTGGCAGAGCACCAGCCTGGGCAGACAAAGCTAAGTGAAAGTGTGAGACCCTGAGTTCAAGCCCCAGAATGGGCATTAAAAAAAAAAAAGTAAATAAACTTCCCCTTAGGTTGCCTCGGTGTGTCCCTTTGTATATGGAAAAAGAAGTTGGCAAAGGAGTCCTCTCCTGCATTTTAGCTAGTACCGTTTAGTTCACATCACAGTCATTGTTCTTCGATGAATCAGGGACAGAGCCCCTGGGGCAGTGGCTCTGGGAGGAGGCCTTCCTAAGGAAGGACCGGGACCAGGAGTCTCCTCCAGGGGTGGGGCGAGGTGGGGATTTGTTCAGACAGCCCCCTCCCCCACTGGCTGCCAAGGCCTTCACTTGCACTTTTCTCCGCAAGGCAAGGTGGGCACACACTAAAAGAATGGCAGCGTCATCAACCACGCCCACCCCAGCTGCCTGGGGGTTATAGGGTAGCTATCCTGAGAAAGTGACTAGGACCGTGGCCTGGAGGGAAGCAGCCACACCCCATGCCGTGAGTCAACAGGCCTTGTGGTCCGGAGAGAACTCAGACTGGCTGGGACCAGCTGGTCTTCCCTGCGGGAGGAAGCTGGTAGAGGCTCAGGTGTCAATTCCACCAGTGCCTCCTCCCTCCCTCCCCACTGCTCTAAGGTGCCGGCCAGATGAGTAATCATTCTTCCCTCTGTGGAACACAACCAGATAGATGTTCATAAAGCTCCTCTTGGCTTTCCACACTCAGTACCATCAAAAGCGCAATGCATCTTAACTGCCAGCCCTGCCACCTGGGGCAGAGCAATGGATACCATGACAAAGGTGGTTAAGTACTGGCATCGGGCTGAAGGGTGCCATGTTGGGAGGTCCAGAAGTTTCCCAGGCAAAACAGCCTGCTGGCTTCCGTCTGCTTTCCTGCAGGCTTTCTAAAACTGCTTTTGTACTCCGTGCTTTCTCTGTCCCACAGTTTGCCTAAAGGTGGGGGAGGAGATGCTGAACTCAAACTTTCTAAAGAAACAGCTCCTGCAATTGCAAAGACAATATAGGGAAAGAATGATGAGGGATTTAAAAGGAAACAAGAACTAATATTCAAGGGGAAAAAAGTATCCAGGCAGTACCTGGATTTGTGTAGCTCACACCTGTAATCATTGGGACTCAGGGGGCTGAGACCCAAGGATCAAGATTCAAATTAACCCTGGGGAAAAGGTTGTAAGACTCTATTTCCAAAACAGCCAGCAAAATACCAGGCTGGAGGTGTGGCTCAAGTGGCAGAACAGCAGTCTTACATGAGAAAGCCAAAGGAGAGACCAAGTCCTGGACTTAAAGCCCCAGTACCAGCAAAAACAAAAAGAAGAACAAAATTCACAAAACACTAACAACAACAAAAGCAAAAAAAAAAAAAAAAAGATGAATACAGGCATATAGTAGATGTTCAATAAATTTGGGCAGTTATGTGTACAGAGTTTTGTGGGTGCCAACATGCTTCCACAAATACTACATCCAGATCATCTGGCTCTAAGCCCACACATTTGGGGGAAATAATTAGAATATTGGTTTATGTCCTGCATGCTTTCCTGAATTAACTCCAGAGACTCAGTCTACTAAGTATATTTTCCCTATTCTGCTCTTGTCTTTTTGCTCTGAATCCTAGAAATGCATTCCACTCAGTTTCTTGGGCATCCTCTAGGCTCTGGAAGAGGAACTAATGTTTTTTCCATGTAAAGACACGGTCCTCCGGCCCTCCACATTAATGCTCAATGGCTGCTGCTGCTCCAGCCCTCTTATCTCCCCAGTTCCAAATGTCCCAGGATATTTTTTGAAGGAATGCAAGGGGCCACAGGATGACAGAAAATTAATGAAAATCATTTCCTCTGGTCACAACATTGGACGCCTTATAAGGCATTGGTATCCTCTGTGTACCAGTCACTGTCTCTCCTCCACCTGTCTCTGGGGAAGGCTAGTGGCTGTGGTTTCGGGTACCATCAAAGGTGTGCCACGCCAGGGGATGGCAGTCTATACAGATGAGGCCGAGGCTGTCAGGGGGAAGCAGTCTGCTGGTCCAGGGCATCTCAGCAAGTAAAGCTCTGGCTATTCACTTGCAAGCTCCATGGTTGGTCCCAGGCCATCGGAGCTGCTTCCCAACCTATAAAACTGATCCGGGGAAGGTGCATACTCTGTGAGCTAGTGTGACATTGCACGAGTCAGTTCGTTTATTATGCTTAACAGGATGGCTGGTACATAAAAGAAAGAGCCCAGTGACTGGTAGGTTTCATTATTGCTGTTATCAATCCACCGATCAGTAAGAGGTACAATAAAGGGCACTTGAGTGTTCTCAGGGCCTGTCCCTTGGCTTTTTGACTAGGGGCTGGTGCTCTACCCCTTGGACTTTCCTGCCAGGGCTGGCTTTGAACATTGAGCCTCAGATCTCAGCCTTCTAGTTAGCTAGGATGACAGGCGTGAGCCACAGGCTTGTGCCTCCTTCCTTAGGCCAAGGAGGGAGCTGTGTGGCCCAACTATGGCGGAGCCCTCTGATGGTTCCCGCAGCCATGCCCAGCCTTCCTTGGCTGTGCCGTCTTCTTCCTTGGTTTCCTTCTGTGGACCTGATGCTCTGACCGCCTAAAAACCACTCCTATGATTGGAAAGGCCCCCAGGCCTCCCTCCCTCCTTCCTCCTCGCTCTCCCTTCCTCTCTCCTTTCCCCTCTCCTCCCTCCTCTCTCTCCCCTCCTTCCTGTCCTTCCTCCATCCTCTCTTTCCTCTCTCTCTGCTCCTCCCTCCTTCCACCCTTCCCCATAAGGTGAGAGGCCCCCTCCTCCTTCCCCCCTCCCCTCTCCAGGCTGGGTGCCCGGTAGGAACTCAGCTTCCCCCCAGCCTTAACCCTACCCAGGGTTTCGCAGGGTGTTGTTTGTTGTTGTTGTTGTTGTTGTTTGCTAATAAAATAAAATTAAGCTTGGCCTTGGGGTCATCCAGGGTCGTGGAGCTCCGCCCTTGACGCCACCGAGGAGCAGTGGAAGCCTAAGCCGGGTTGCAGTGCCGCCTGATACGAAATGCACCCCAGGAGCGGCCTGGGGCGCGGGGCAGAGGCGCACGCGGGCGGTGCTCAAGGCCCGGACGCCGCGGTCCCTTTAAGAGAGGGGCGGGGCCGGGCCCCGGCGCGGCAGGCCCCGCCCCCGGCAGGCCCCGCCCCCGGCAGGCCCCGCCCCCGCGCCCTCTCCCTTTTATCCATTCAGAAATTACTCCTCGCGAACTCCGGGCCGGCGGGGCGGGAGGCGGCGCGGAGGACGCGGGCGGCCGCGGGCGCAGCGCGGGGGCCGGGCCGGCCGGCGGAGCCGCCGCCCAGGCGTCGGGCTCGGGGCCGCTCCAGGAAGCGCCGCAGCCTCCGCCGCGGGGACGCTCGGGCGCCCCCCCCCGCGTCCCGCCGCCCGCGCCCGACCCCGCGGCGATGGCCGGCCGCTGAGCCCCGGCGCCGCCCGGCATGGCCGCGCGCGAGGAGCTGTACGGCAGAGTCGCCCCGCGGAGGAGCCGCCAGCGCCCCGGCACCGTCAAGCACGGCTCGGCCCTGGACGTGCTGCTCTCCATGGGCTTCCCCCGCGCCCGCGCGTGAGTGGATGGCGGGGCAGGGGCGCGGGGCAGGGGCGCGGGGCGCGGGGCAGGGGCGCGGGGCGCGGGGCAGGGGCGCGGGGCGCGGGGCGCGGGGCAGGGGCGCGGGGCGCGGGGCAGGGGCGCGGGGCGCGGGGCAGGGGCGCGGGGCGAGGGGCGCGGGGCAGGGGCGCGGGGCAAGGGGCGCGGGGCAAGGGGCAGGGGCTCGGGGCGCGGGCCGAGGGGCGCGGGGCAGGGGCGAGGGGCAGGGGCGAGGGGCGAAGAGCGCGGGGCAGGTACCCGGGGCGCGGGGCGAGGGACCCAGGGCGCGGGGCGAGGGGCGACGGACCCGGGGCAGGGGCGCGGGGCGAAGGACGCGGGGCGCGGGTCCCGGGCGCGCGCTCGGCCCCACGCAGCCCCCGGGCCCGCGCCTCGCGGGGTGGCGCTCCGCCCGCCGCCCGCGACCTGTTGGGGCCCGTAGGGCGCGGGACTCGCCTGGGGCAGGGGGGCCGGGGGAGCCTCGGGCGCGAGTCCCAGCCGGGGTGCCCGGCGCCCCGCGGGCGGCGGGACGAAGCGGTTCTCTGGCGCGCGCCCCGAGGAGGCGGGGTCCCCGGAGGACGCAGGCGTCGCCCCCCCCCCCCCAGGAGATCGGGGCCGCCGGGGGAGCCACGCGCACGGCCGGGCCAGGGCCCAGGAGAGCGGCCAGCTCCGGGGGCCGTGCTCGGGTCCGGCCTCGCTCCCGGGGAGGAGGCGCGGGCCGCGGGTGGCGCCGCGCTCCGGGGCGGCGCAGGGATGGGGGGGCGGCGACCCCCTCCCCGAGGTCCAGAGTCCTCGGCGGGGCGGGCGGCGGCGCGGGGTCTGCGGGGTGGGCAGGGGGCGCGAGCTTTCGTTCTGGTTCCTCTCCGAGGCTGGGCGAGGGAAGGGCGGAGGGGGGCGCAGGTGGCTCTGGGCGCATCTGGGACGAGGTGGACTGCCGGTGCCCGGCGGCGGCGGCGGCGGCAGCCCTGGGCGGGCATCGCCGGAGCCTGCGGGCCCCCAGCGCGGAGCGCGGAGCGCGGGGCGCGGGGCCGGGCGCGCCGGGCCGCCCTCCTCCCGCGGTGAGCCCGCGCGCGCTCCGGCGCGCAGCCAGGCCTGGCCTGGCTCATCCTCGGTGACATCACCTGAACTGCGGAGCTGGCAGGTTTTCTTCAGAAGGGTCGGGTGGATGGAATCTCCTTTCTCTTCTGATTTTCTTCTCCCTCTGCCCGTGGTGAGCCTCCTTTATTCTTTCCTACTTTGGCCATAGCCTTTGTTTGTTTGTTTGTTTGTTTGTTTAATTGCAGCCACAGGGCCTTGTACTCTCCCTTGGTGTCTTTGCTCAAAGCTGGCGCTCTCCCACTGCAGCCACAGCTCCACCTCTGGCTTTTGCGTGGTCTCTTGGAGATAAGAGTCTCATGGACTTTTTCTCTCCAGGCCTGGCACCATGATCTTCAGACTTCAGCCTCCGGAGTCGCTAGCTAGAATTACGGGCGCCAGTACCCAGGACATAACCTCTGAGTTGAAGCGAACTCCTTCATTGAGTATTTCCCCCAGGCCGCCAGGCTGGAGTGGTGCTGGATGTCAAGAATGAATTGTGATTTCCAAGCCCTGGGGCTTCTGTCCTGGATGCCCAGAATTACAGGGAGGAGGGAAGGTGGGCGCACAGGGGCCTGTCCCTTGTGAGTCCTTCCCGAAGCGGAGCTCCTGAGCCCTGGAGGAAGGGAGGAAGAATTCTGCTAGCATAGTCCCAGGCCCCTGCCTTTTCTGAAATGAGGTCAACATTGAGAACTTAAATTGTTTAATAAAGGGAAGAGATAACTTCCCTGCTGTCTTTCTGTGCAATGGGCTTTCCAGGAATCTTGTCCTCCTGCAAGGACTCTGGGGGCCTGGTCCTTGTCCCGACAGCTGAGGGTGATGGGCTGATTTTGGCTTGTTCCAATCCTGACACCTCGGAGTAGCTAGCATCCACTGAGTCCTTACTACTTCCTACTCCAGGCACTGATTTCATCTTTAGGATCCATTCTGCACTCCACACAACACACCGCTGGAGGCCACCACGTGCCTCTTTTGTGAGTGGGGAAACTGAGTTTTGTGTAGAATTTATATAACTTGCTGAAGGTCGCCATAGTAACTAGTGAAGCTGGGATTCAAACCCAGACCATGGGGATACACGTTTAGGGTCAAAAGATGTGCCTGGTTGGCTGTGGAGAAATGCACAGGGCTGTTCCTAGCACACAGTGGGCAGCTGCTGTAATGAATGATGACACAGTCAGTGGCTTCAATCCCCAGAAATGCACAATTCTAGGGCCCGACATTCAAGAACAGTCTCTGGCTGAAATCAAGGTGTCCAGCCCAGCATGGTGGCTCATGCCTATAATCCTAGCTAATTGGGAGTCCGAGGTTGGAAGGGTCAAGATGTCCAAGGCCAGGCAGATAAAAAAGTTCCCAAGTTGACCTCCCCCCCACCTCAACCAATCGCAGAGCCGGTGTGTGTGGTGGCGTGCACCTGTCATCTGAGCTATGGTAGGAGGCCTACATAGAAGGCCACAGTCCAGGCAGGCCTGGCAAAAAGGATGGCTGTATTAGAAATAACGGAAGCAAAAAAGGTCTAGGAGGTGGCTCAAGTGGTAGAGCACCAATGCTAGATTCTGAGTTCAAATCCCAGTGTAGCATGTATATATATTACATATATAATATGTATTACATATTATGCATATATTGTATGTACATATATGTATTAAACAATATTATATATGTATCACAGGGCCTCATATTTGCTAGGTAGTTTTCTTCTTCTTTTTTTTTTTTTGGTCCGGTCATGGGGCCTGAACTCTGGGCCTGGGCACTGTCCCTCAGCTCTTCAGCTCAAGGCTAGCCTTCTACAGCTTGAGCCACAGCGCCACTTCCGGCTTTTTTCTTTTTGCTTATGTGGTGCTGAGGAATCGAACCCAGGGCCTCAGGCATGCAAGGCAAGCGCTCTACCACTGAGCCACCTTCCCAGCCCCTTCTTTTTTTTTTCCTCCTTTTTTCTTGAGATAGGGTCCCAGGCTAGACTTGAACTCTTGATCTAATTGCTTCAACTTTCCGAGTGCTGGGATTGCATGTCAGAGTCATTCTATTCAAGTATGTGTCCTTTCTTTTCTCCCCCTCCCGTTTTTGTTTTTGTTGTTGGGTTGTTGTTTGTTTTGTTCTAGGTCAGCCTTGAACTCATGACCCTCCAACCTCAGTCTCTGCACTGCTGCGCTTAGTGGCATTCCCATCACATCTGGTTTTACTTAGCATTTTTTAATAGTTAAACAAAAAAAGCGAAAATCCTTCCTTCCAGCTTTGACCCTCTCACCCCATCTGATAGTAACTTGGGACACGTGGGTCCCTCTTCGTTCCCTGCTCCTGACTCTGATAAGCTCCATTTGCCTCCCAGCTCCGTTGAGATCAACCGTTTTTTAGATTCCTCTGGCGTATTTCACGTAACACAACCGTCTCCAGTTTCATCAGTGGTCACTGCTTACAAGATTTTTTTTTTTAATGACTGACTAGTATTGCACCTAGTGTAAATGTTTCTATGGCTGCATTTAGGGCCCACTTGGGTAATATAGAACAATCACCCCATCTCAAGACACTTAGCCACACCTGCAAAGATCCCCCTTTACCAGGTGAAGCACTCACAGATTAGAAGGATGAGGATGTGGCTAGTGTTTGGGGACTGTTTAGACTCTCATAGTTACTACCCCTTCCTACCAAAGAGAAGGTATGGCTGGGTGGATTTTTCACTTTCTTCTATTTATTTTTGTGGTGCTAGGGATCGAACTCGGGACCTGTATGCGCCCAACAAGCACTCTATCCTACCGGCCTCCTCTGTCTTTCTCTGATCTTGCCTAGAAGGTGAAGGGCTCTTGGAGTCATCGGATGGGGTTCAGCTCCCTGAGCAGGCCGAATCGTCCTTCCAGCCTCTCACCTTCATGCTTCCATCCAGGGGGCCTTTGTGGTCGTGTGCTTCACCACTGCAGTCAGCGAGGAGAGGGGCTTGTGGCTTCCTTTTAGAGTGGAGGAGGGCATCAGGCTCAGGGTGAGAATCCTCCTCTCTCACACCAGAAGCCCGGCGGCTGGAACACGACGAGGACACTGGGCAGGATGGACCCGTGCGTCTAGGGTGGAGGACAAGGTTGCAGTGCCACAGGCAGGGACAGGCAGGTGTTAGGAGCTTGGCCTTCTGATGGGGAAGCAGACCTGGGGTCTGGGTTCCTCCCTGGGGGTGTAGCAGCAAGAACAGACACTTTGCCAGGGACTGGTGGCTCACACCTCTAATCCTAGCTATTCTAGAGAGGTTGAGATCTGAGGATCGCAGTCTGAAGCCAGCCCAGGCAGGAAAGACTCTCATCTCCAATTAGCCAGCAAAAAGCTGGAAGTGGAGCTGTGGCTCAAGTGATAGAGCTCTTGCCTTGAGCACAGAGACTCAGGAACAGTGCCTAGGCTCCAAGTTCACGCCTCAGGAATCAGTGCATGTACACCCACGCTCACACACAAAGGATCTGGGTGGCTGGCAGAGGATGGACCAGGACAAGGCTCAGGTTCCAACCTGTGCCATGCACTTCTGGAAAAGGCACTTCAAGTGCCCACAGGGCCTTGCTGCTGGCGGCGCTCCAGGAGAACAGGGCCGTCAACACCCGTCTTCCCCTCCTGCGGGCTGATCACAAGCCTCTAATCTGGCCTCTCTGGCTTGTTCATCCCTGGAAGAACTTTGGTCAAACTTCAACACTGCTGCAGAACACACTTGCAGGAAGAGGAGGAGAGAAAAATAAAGAGATTGGCAGGCCGGCAGGCAGACTAATGGACAGAGTGAATGACGTGTGCCCTAGATCA